CATTTCAATAATGAATTCAGTAAAACACAAACTTTAAAATTTAAATGAAGGTGACACAATTTCCAGTAAAAAGCGACAAAGAGTCCTGTGGCACCTTATAGACTAACAGAAGTATTGGAGCATGAGCTTTCGTGGGTGAATACCCACTTCATCAGACGCATATGGTGGAAATTTCCAGAGGCAGGTATAAATATGCAGGCAAGAATCAGTCTAGAGATAACGAGGTTAGTTCAATCAGGGAGGATAAGGCCTCCCCTTCTAGCAGTTGAGGTGTGAACACCAAGGGAGGAGAAACTGCTTTTCTAGTTGGCTAGCCATTCACAGTCGTTGTTTAATCCTGAGCTGATGGTGTCAAATTTGCAAATGAACTGAAGTTCAGCAGTTTCTCTTTGGAGTCTGGTCCTGAAGTTTTTTTGCTGCAGGGTGGCTATCTTTAAATCTGCTATTGTGTGGCCAGGGAGGTTGAAGTGTTCTCCTACAGGTTTTTGTATATTGCCATTCCTGATATCTGACTTGTGTCTATTTATCCTTTGACGTAGGGATTGTCCAGTTTGGCTGATGTACATAGCAGAGGGGCATTGCTGGCACATGATGGTGTATATTACATTGGTGGACGTGCAAGTGAATGAACTGGTGATGTTGTGGCTGATCTGGTTAGGTCCTGTGACGGTGTCGCTGGTGTAGATATGTGGGCAGAGTTGGCATCGAGGTTGTTGCATGGATTGGTTCCTAAGTTAGAGTTACTATGGTGCAGTGTGTGGTTGCTGATGAGAATATGCTTAAGGTTGGCTGGTTGTCTATGGGCGAGGACTGGCCTGCCTCCCAAGGCCTGTGAAAGCGAGGGATCATTGTCCAGGATGGGTTGTAGATCACTGATGATGCGTTGGAGAGGTTTTAGCTGAGGACTGTAGGTGATGGCCAGTGGAGTTCTGTTGGTTTATTTCTTGGGCTTGTCTTGCAGCAGGAGGCTTCTGGGTATATGTCTGGCTCTGTTGATTTGTTTCCTTATTTCCTCATACGGATATCGTAGTTTTGAGAATGCTTGATGAAGATCTTGTAGGTGTTGGTCTCTGTTTGAGGGGTTGGAGCAGATGCGGTTGTACCTCAGCGCTTGGCTGTAGATGATGGATCGTGTGGTGTGTCCGGGGTGGAAGCAGGAGGCGTGAAGGTAGGCATAGCGGTCGGTGGGTTTTTGGTATAGGGTGGTGTTAATGTGACCGTCACTTATTTGTACCGTGGTGTCTAAGAAGTGGACCTCCCTTGTAGATTGGTCCAGTCTGAGGTTGATAGTGGGGTGGAAGCTGTTGAAATCATGGTGGAATTCTTCCAGAGTCTCCTTCCCATGGGTCCAGATGATGAAGATGTCATCAATGTAGCGTAGGTAGAGAAGGGGCATGAGTGGACGAGAGCTGAGGAAGCGTTGTTCCGGGTCAGCCATAAAAATGTTGGCATATTGTGGGGCCATGCGGGTGCCCATAGTGGTGCCACTGGTCTGGAGATATATATTGTCCAATTTCCAGTGTGTCCTAGAGTCCTGGGGCCTTATTGAATCATTTAGGTCTCACATATCATAAGAGCATATCTTGGTCCGCCATTGCTAAAGGATTTTTAGCAAAAGTTTTTGGTTTCACTGTATCCTATCCACACCAGGTTGCATGGTGATTTTTCCCTACTGGCGCCAAAGAATTCTCCTTGGGCAGACTGGTAAGTCTAGTCTTTTTTTTTTCTCTAGATAACCGTTTTTGGACTAATTTTGCTTAGCAATCTACACACACTTCTGTTTCTGAGAGCTTCACTGATAAACATTCCACACTCATAATTTGCAACTCGTGAGCCAAATCCCCAGTTAGCATGAGTCAGCATAGCTCCATTGATTAACAGGTTCTTGTACACTTAATTGATTTCAGTGGAGCAATGCTGGTTTATACTAGTTGTAATTCATGCACCATGGAATATGAAGGCGCTTGATCTTCTTTCTGATTTCGATGCCAAAATTGGAAACACTGAACAGAATCTATGATTTGAGTCAAAGTAGCTCGTGAACATCCCAATGAGCTCAACGTTTGATTTTCTCTGTTGGGCCATGATTGAAGACAGTGGAAGTACTTCCATTGACTTTGCTGAGCGCTTCTAAGGTCTTTAGAAACCCATAAGCTTGGAGATCTCTTACTACTAGGAACACTGTTGGTTGCTAGTGATGTAACTGACAGGGGGAACAGTCCTTTAGTATGCCAACCACTGCAGATAGGATTCCAAGTCTTTGCTGTTTTCCTTTTCTATAACTCTGCCTATGGGGGTCATTTTTGCTGCTATCTTTTCCCTTTCCCTGCAGAATTCCTTTCCTTTGCAGTTTTCACTGTCTTGTCTCCAACTCTATCCTTTTGTTCACACTTCATCGATTTTCCAAACACATCAACCTTCCTGTTATGGCTTCTGGGTGTGGGAACTTCCACTAGAGGGCTCTCAAAATAGCATGTATCTATTTACATAGTTTGCCAAAAAATATACACTGGAAAGTCTAGATATAATTTGTCTCCGGCACTGTACTATTTTGTATTTGTGTTGCCTCTCTGAGCTGGTTCCTAAGTTATCAACTATTATTTATTTTGTGTTTAAGGAAACACCACAGTTTCATTGTCTTTGCTTTTAAAGACCTGCTGCACTGAATAAGGCATTTTCAACAAAACGTGGGTTGTGTCTTATCTGAGTTTGCGACTGGTATTCAGTTCAATTCTAGCCTTTGGTATATGCTGTTCGTCATATTTTCAAAAGTGGATCTGTTGCAGGTAGCTCTGGGTTATGAATATTTAGCTAGAGGCTATGAATTCTGAAATGGCAGAGTTAATATATGAAGAAAATCCTTTAATGCTGGAAAAAGGTCAAACGACCATAAAAGCGAGGCGGAGAAAGAAGAAAATCGATGAGATCGCGATTAGTAGGGAGCGAAAGGATTAGTGAATGTCCCATAGTGGGAATTAATTGTCTGCATAAAGTGTCAAGATATAAAACTGCAGTTAGAGTTCATTGAAAAAAGAAAGTAAATCCTGTGCAAACGCTCCTAGAAGCTTTTAGGATACGGTGTGGCCAAATCTTGTGATTTTTGTTGTGGCACTCACAATGTGTGTGTGTGTAGTTTCTTAAAGCCCAGCTCCAGGAGTTATGGGATTGTGAGAATTGTAGCTTTAATTTATTTTATATATACACCTCTACCCCGATATAACGCTGTCCTCGGGAACCAAAAAATCTTACTGCGTTATAGGTGAAACCGCGTTATATCGAACTTGCTTGGATCCGCCGGAGTGTGCAGCCCCGCCCCCCCCCCCCGGAGCGCTGCTTTACCGCGTTATATCCGAATTCATGTTATATTGGGTCGCGTTATATCGGGGTAGAGGTGTATATACTTCTAGCCCTCAGGGTTGCAAAGAAAAGCTGAAAAATGTGACCGTTAAAGGCTCAAAAACCAGAAGGCAAATACAAAGACCTGCAATTTATTGTATTTAAAAAACCCAAATCTCCTGATTTTTAGTGGATCTGACTGATGATTTTTTTGAATGCTTGAGGTTGACAACACAGAGGACACCTGCATGCAATGCCAGGAGCTGGGGTACAGTAGATATGTATATATACTGCCAATTTTTCTACCCTGCAATAGGTACACAGCGCTCTGTCTGCCATTGGGCATGTTTTGGATCTTTTAATCTTATTTTGCATCACGGTATGGGTTCAACAGACCCTTCAGGCCATTTCTTCTTTATATTTATTTGACCTGTCACTCCAGCACCTCTCATTATAACCTATCTGTGTTTGTCCCACACAGTACAATTGCAGCACCCTAATGTAATTTAGACTGCCGTGATTCCATTATGGTGATTGCTTTTAATGTGGCTGTGAGGCGATTTTGTACAAGTATATGCCAACATTAGTTTATCTCTCCAGACCGGCGAGTGAGCACTGGCTGTCTGTGTACGGAGGAATAAATACTGTAAATAAATGATGGAGAACAGTTCTTTATGGGCTGCTCTCCCACCTCCAGAGCACTAGTGGAGATGGAAAGTAATAGGGCAGGAACATTAAAGCAGTTAAAGATGTTTGTTTACAGAAGATTGATGCATGAGTTTGCAGTATACATAAAGTCCTCAGATCAGTACGGTCATGTCTCCTTGACCCACCGTTGTTAGATATTACAGAAGGCAAAGGAGAACGTAAGAAGGCCTCAAGAATTTAGTATCCGTCTCCCAAGAGTTTGGTCTTATATCAGTGCAGTGCATGTATGACCATCCTTTTGTTCTGTGTTTGTCGAGTCCCTCGCACAACAGAGTACTGGTCCATGACAAGGACTCCTAGATGCTAGCGCAACACAAATAATTAATGACAGTAAAGTGCTGGGGGATTGCATTGCTGTAGCTCTTTAGGTGCAACACCACCTCCTCACACGCAGTACAGAAATGGCCAAAGAGGCAGTCCCTGCCCTGGAGCAGCATTAGAAACTGTTCCCTGGGTTACACCATTTTATAAATGGAATTCTTATTTTGTGTTTAGAGTAGGAAGTTTCTACTGTAGTTCTGCTTTTTAGGCTCTATTTTAAATGTTTTGTTCCTTTTCCCTTTGCACTGCATTTTCATACTGCCCATGTCCTTTTTTGTCTATGCTGAACATCCTGTGAGTCTAATAATCTGAAGTAAAGGGATTGCAAATTTCCTCTTCTGATCGGGCCTGGCTGGCCTTTGGAGTATGGTAGATCCCAGAAGGGAACTTACCTCTGAGAAAAGGAGCAGAGAATCAACTGAACTCAACGGGACTCTCTGCAGATGGAAGGGCCCACCCACACTGATCCCCTGTGCAGCATCAGGACCCTTGTCTGCAAGTTGTTTTTGTTTTTAAATCATTTTAATTGGAGTATAAACTCCTCAGGGCAAGGCCTATATCCCTAGTTGGTGGTTATTTATTCACGTAAGGCAATGATTTGGCTTAGTAAATGTAGTTGATTCTGTTTCTTCTAGAGCGTGACCCTAATAAGTTTTATCCAAAGGCTGTCCAGATTGTTGTTGGTGTTTTGAACCATCTGGAGACTCTTCCAGGATGTGTGGCTTTCTTTCTAGATATGAGTCACAGCAACCAGGCCTGGAAGCCCGAGTGGTGTATCTGGTAAGATAAGGTGCCATATTGTGGCTGGTCGCAGGTGGAAACAAGTGTATTTTTGCTGCCAGAAGTACTTGGGCGCCTGATAACAATGAGGAGGCCTAAAAGACCCCGAGGCTGAGGACCAAGTGAACTATCCTGGGGCAGATGCTCCCAAATTGTGGTGGATTTGGTAAAAGCGGCAAATCTTTTGAAGTGTTTTGTCTCCCTAGCAACGTCATCTCAACCTCGCCTGGGTACAGCTTTAGCCAGCAGCTCCTCATCCAAGTGCTGATGAGTGGGAACCAAGAAAGCCATTTACTTCATGTGGTTATAATCTCAAGGACAGGATGTTCTTGCAGGGAGACTTTTCTCTAAGAAATCCGATTGGTAACATGGCTCCTTAGCCTTCAGCAATATTGTTGCTTGAGGTAAAGAGTTCAAGCATCAATATAAAGGAGCTAGATGGGATGGAAACATAGAATTCGGGGAAGGGAAACAGGAAATTAAAATCTCTAGTACAATGTCCTACTGTAGAAGTTAAAAAACCTCAATAATAAAATGAATCAAAACTAATTAGATCTTATTTTCAAAACCAAGTAACTTAAGGAACAATTGCCAATGTTATTTAGATGCTGTCTACTTCTTTCAATAGTTCATTTTTTTTCTGGTTATTAGTAAAAACAATGATTATAGGAAATATTTTCCATGTACACTGAGCATGGATAGAAGTTCCATCTCGATCAAGCACCTTAGGCAGGATATAGGTTGCTTTAGCTGAACTATATCCTCTCCTCTACAGCTACGTTACATTTTAGATGCTGATTTCCTATGTAACTTTTTACGTAATTGCTTTCCAACACCGATGTGTGACTGTTAGTAAATATTTTTCATGCATCTTCCATCCAGGCATCTAAAGCGTGCTTTACAAACATAGGGCCATAGTGTTCTCTGTGCACACAACTCCCAGCTAGGGGACAGGGCTGGTGGAAGTTCCATTGTACCCTTCTGCCAGCAAGGTGTTCAGAGGTATAAGAAAATTTGGTCCCCATGCCCAGGTGTAGCCCAGGTTTGCTCTGTCCCCCTCTCATGGCAGGACCACAAGGAGGTTTATGAATCTGCTATAGCCTTTGAGCTCATAGATCTGGGTCTTTTTAGCTCAGGCTGTACAGGCTCCTGGTTTTAGGTCCAGAGAGTCCAGGATTCAATCCCTGTGGCCGATGACCCACCCAAGGGCATTGTGTTATTTGGAGATCCCCAAGGCTTGCAGAGATACAGGGATGGACAGAGGTTCTGTTCTATGCTGCTTGGGGCTACAGTTCTGGCTGCTGGAGCTGGAAGTCTACTTCAGGGGGCTGGGGGAATTCTGCAGTGCAGAACCAGAGTAAGTTCATGCTGATGGGGTCAGCATCGTGGTTTCCCCCCCACGCAGATTTCCTATGGGACCAGAAGGGGGATGATGCTGTAAGGAGCATCCCACCAAGCCCGTGAGATTAGAAAAACGGGGGGTAAATGATGCCACGGAAGTGGCTTTCCCCCTCGTCCATTTTCCTTCCCCACCAAGCAGAGATCTGGCAGAGGGAGCAACTTGGCCCTATGTGCCAGTGCTGTTGGTGTGCCTGGCGTTTTACATAGGGTAATGCAGCCATACAAAGGGGACAGTGACCCGTGGGAGGGCAGCTCCTGCCGGGGAGGAAAGTTTCTTTCCTTGTGTGGATCTAGTGTTTGTAGGCCTCACCCCAGCATCCCCTCCAGTCCCACCCCTCCTTTTGGCAGGAAAGTCAACAAGAGTCCCCTCCCTACATTCTTGCCATACTGGCCTCTTCCGATGTCCCAGTATAAACTGGGCTGGATTTTCATGTTGCGCTGCTACAGCCCAGAAGGTTTAAATGCATATATTAGTCATAGCACTGACGGTTTGAAACTAAAACCACTTCATTACAAGGAGCTTTTGAATGAATGCCTGAAGATGTAATAAGACCCAGAAGGAAATAAGGCTGAGTGAGAATATGAGTTACAGCTAAGATTGCAAGGGTTTTTTCCCCCTTGGAATTGCAGCATTTCCATCTCGGGCAGATCCAAGGCTGACTGCTGCCTTTGGCAGTTTGGAAGGGACAGTCCTTCCTTAAGTTCAGCTGAGACAGAGGCGCCTGCTTTGATCTTGCATTTCAAGTATTCTCTCTCACCCAGTGAAGAAGGCCCTTTGGAAAATGTAGTCAAAGCAGATAGTTTTCGTTCTCGTTCTGAGAGAACCTGGCTTATTTCCCCCTATTCTCATCTAGGCTCTGTCTTTGTAGCTAAAGCTTGGTCTTTGTTCAAAGAGCCTTCAGGAACTTTTCTCTTACTCTAAAAGTTCTCTGAGATTTTCAAAGCCATCTAGGGGATTTAGAAGCATTTTCCATTAATTCCAACGGCAGATGTGTCTAAATCCCTCGATCGCTTTGAAATGTCAGCCCTCCAAATCTGCCAAATTCTTCTTTGCACAAGTGACCTCACTCAGTACAAATTACAGTAAATCCTATATCAACAAGGGCTATGGAAGAAGGTAACTTTGTTCTAAAGAAAATACGCTGGACCAAATTCTGCTCTCAGCCATGCCAATCAGTGGAGTTATTCTGGATTTACACTAGCGTAAATTAGAGCAGAATTTGACCCATTAAATGATTCAAATGCTTACAGACTTGCTTTAGACACATGTCTGTACAACCATTGGAGGTACAGCGAGCCAGAAAATGTCCCCTACACCCCCCCGCCCGTTGAAAATTTTTGTCTAAATTTTCCATTAATGTTTTTTGTGCAAAATTTTGAAAACTGATGGAGGGAGGCTGTCAGAGTGGACTCACTGCTGGTGCACCCCTTGTGGCTGGGGGTAGTGTAGCAGGCTCTCCTTCTCCAGCAACCCCTGCTGACAGCTGCTCTATCCCTGCTGTGGTCTGCTTCTTCTCATGACTCCTCCCTCCTGCCAGGTCATATTTAGTCCCACCCTGTCTGGGGGAGACAAAGGGTCTAATAAACTAAAGTCACATCAGCGTAACTCCTCACCCCTGTTTACTCTTCTCCAGACTCTTCCCCCTTCCCAGGCTCAGCAGAGTTGTCCTCCCATTCTGATGCAGAGTAACACCTCCCTGGAGCCCTAGCTCCAAAGTCAATAGTCCTTCTCCCCATCCCCCCTGTCAGGGTGTTTCCTCACCACCTCTTCCAGTGGAACAGATAGGGGAACACAGGCCCTCCCGCTCCTGTGGGTTCTAGCAGAGGGAACCTGTAATGAGCATACACAGTCTGTCTGTCCAGTCTCCCACCCCACTTCTACCTCCCTGGGCTTTTTCCTTCCTCAGCCTCTCCCACAGCCCTCTCCTGGGTTTACTGTGCACCCCTCTAGGCTTTTCCTCCACTCTCTCGCACCAGAGAGTGCCTGTGTAACACCGACAGACCCCAGTGGTCAGTGGGTGGGATTGAACCTGGGACCTCGGGAGCTTAGTGCATTTTATATCTCTCTCTAAGTGGTCTCCGTGCTACTAGATGGGACAGAACACCACACCCAGGAGGTGTGTGGGTTACACCTGCAGAGTTCTTCCCCTCTCTTCCTGCAGCCTCCTTCTTATCTGGGCTTCCTCCCTTTATGCTAACCCCTCAGCTACTCCCCCAGCTGGCACTCATCTTCACTTGGGCCTGGCCCACCCCAACCAGGTCCCCTAATTGAACTCTCCAGCTCCCCTTTCAGTGCTAGTGTGGGGTTTACACCGCATCACAGGGTCAATGTATCATAGGCCTCCCTGGCCTTGATGTATCATGGGAAATGTAGGCTGGTTAGGGAACCTGGCCAATAGAGAATGGGGACATGAGGCAACTAAACTAGACCTCTCGTGTGGTCCTGCAGGAGCGTATATCCAAATTGGAATAGCTGTGTTTTTAGCCATTTGGGTTTTTGACCCCTCTGTCAAAAAAATCAACTTTCCACAGAACAAGTTTCCTCAAAACCCCATTTTCCATTGAAAAACAGTTTTGATGGGAAATTTTTGACCAGTCATTCGGGTTGGTCTAAGGTGGACTTTTGTGCTAGTTACAGAATGCTTCATAAATTAACCACTCCTTCAGCATGTTCCACAAATCTGACCATACCCTCGAATCACTCTGGTGAGGCAGGTAAATATTATCACCATGTTACAAATGGGGCAATTTAGGCTATCACATGAACTACACTCTGCTCTGTCTCCTTGTATTTTCTTTTTCCTGGTAGACCATAGGGATTTTATGGCCCTAGACAGGAATGCAGGAATTGCCAGATCAGACCCAAGGCCCATCTAGTCCAGTATCCCAGGGGTTTTTTTTGCTTTTTTCGTTCTAAAAAGAAAAAAATAAACGCATGCCCTGAATCCCTGTGTTATTCAAGTAACCAAAGGAAAAACACCGTAGGAGTGTGAATGTTCACATTACATTGACATTCATTCCTGGCAGGCTGTTGGTGGATTCTCTCATTAGTGTGTTAGATGGCATTGTCTGGGGCTGCCAAGGTGTCATACGTTTTATACTTTTTGTATAATAAAGCTGCTCCCTGTAGCTTTGCATTATGTTCTTCTCTCAGTCTCGTGACAATGCAGATTCTACAGAAAGGACCCAAAATGGGTTATATCAGTGCTGAGAAGCCAGCAAATTATAAAACATAAAATTGCCAAGGTAACCTTGCTGGATAAAATGAATGTTACCTTTTCCTGCAGCTTTTAAACTTGCATTAATATTTCAATGTTTAAATTGTGTCAGCTGGATCATTGAAAAGTGGCTTGTAAAGTTCTATTAGAAATAGAACTAATTTTTAAGCCACAATATTGTGAAGGTGAGGAATGGCTGCTGTGGGGGCCCAGTGAAAAAGGGCAGTGGGTCTCAACCATGTGTATGCTTGAAGACCCCTCCTTTCCATACCGAGAACCCCCTGTTCCAGCTGGCCAGGACCCCCTCCCACTTAGTGGCATGGGAAGGGAGAGCCCCGACACCTGTTTGTGACCCCTCCAGGTTGAGAACTCCTGAATATG